TCTTTCTTTTGGGCCCTCCCCTCTGTGGCAGGAGGCCGCCGCGCCAGACCGCTGCCGGCGCCTGACGATGACACTGGCGTGTGGGCAGGCCTTCCGCTGGCACGACTGCGGCGTGCACGCGTTCGTGCCCGCGCACAGCGCGCGCACGCGCGAGTGGGCCGGCGTCGTGGGCCGCCGCCTGCTCGTCCTGCGCCAGACGGAGCGCGAGCCGCCCGACGGCGCGCCGGACCCCGTGTGGTGGCGCGTCGCCGCAGGCGAGCCGCGCTGCGCAGAGGCCGTCGTGTAGGACTACTTACGCCTCGCCGCCGACCACACGCGCGCCGTCGAGCGCTTCTGCCACGCGGACCCCGCGTACAACACCGCGTTCCCCGTGTACCGCGGCTGCCGCGTCGTGCGACAGGAGCCCGTCGAGTGCCTCTTCGGCTTCATCTGCTCCAGCAACAACAACGTCACGCGCATCGCGGCCATGGTCACGCGCCTGGCCGCGCGGTACGGGGAGAGCGTCGGCGAGCATGCGGGCCGCCCGCACTTTGTGTTCCCGCCGGTGCACGTGCTGGCGGCGGAGGCCACGGAGGAGGCCGTGCGGGAGGACGGGTTTGGCTACCGTGCCAAGTTTGTGGTGGGCACGGCGGCCATGCTGCGCGACGACGCTGCGAAGGCGGGCCTGTCCGCGGAGGAGCTGTTGTGCTCGTACCGCGCGCTGCTGCGCAAAGAGGTGGCGCGGAGGCTGGTCAATTACCCCGGCGTTGGCAGGAAGGTGGCCAGCTGCGCGGCGCTGTTCTCGCTCGACCAGCTCGGAGAGATCCCGTTCGACACGCACATTTGGCAGATCGCAACGTACAGGTATATGCCGGAGCTGAAGCAGAAATCGCTCACGGAGATGGTCTACGACCAGGTCGGCGATTTTTTAGGACGCGGTTTGGCGAGGAGGACGCGGGGCTGGCGCAGACAATGCTCTTTGTCGAGGAGCTTGCCCAGTTCAAGGGCTTGGCAGAGGCGCGAGACGGGAAACCGGCGGGGGGGAAGGGGAGAAAGCGTAAGGTGAAAAAGCGGAAGGCAAGAGTGGGCAAGGTGGAGAAGAAGAAGGAGAAGATCAAGTGTGAGAAGATGGAAACTTCTCTCGCAAAGGGAGAAGACTACGTCCTGCGAAAACCGAGCGCAAAGAGTGTTACTAATGGACTCGCGTCTAAGAAGAGCGTGCGGGCCGCAAGCAAAGCTGAGAACAAGATGGTTGTGGTGGAGGCAAAGAAGGAAGGAAATACTTTTGTCGTGGTCAATACAAGCGAGGAGGCAGCGGGTGCTTCAGTTACAACGGGTAAGCCTTACTCTGACGAGGCTCCGGCGAAACGACTGAAGGCGGAGAGTCTACCGATTGAAACTTGTAGCGATACGGTGTGAGTAGAGGTACTTGTAAATACAACAGTTCTCAGGCGGTACCAGTGTTGCCCAGATTTACAACCGAAGAGGAGCGCGTTTGAACAAAACAAGCGCCCCGTGATCATGTCTTGCAAAGTTGAGATGTTGCATCTAGACAACCGATATGCGCTTAGTGGCGCTTTCAAGACTTGCCGAACCGTTGCCGAAATTTTCCAGTATCCCCTCACCTGCATCCTGCTCGCTGTTTGCTTCAGGTTAGCTTTTGCAGAGGCCTGCACCGCCCACTGATGAATTGCTACTTGACGTCTGCCGTAAATGTTTGTGCGCACTGGCGCACGCGCACAATGCCAACTGTCGAGAGACGCACCAGAGGGAGCAAAGAACGCACTTTTATAGTTTGAGCGGGAATTTGGATCAAAAATGCACAAGGCCAAGTCTTTTGCTTTCCGAGTCCCAACGAGTTGTCAGCATCCTCCCCCTCGCCAAGCGTCCCGCAAACACGCATCTAACCTACCAACCTCACCGACCCCCGCCTTGTCCCCCCCTCCGGCACCCCGCCCGCGCTGCCGAACCATGGAGTACCTGGAAGCCGGGCGGCTGGTGTACCGGCAGTCGCGGCGCTACCTAGCCGACGTGCTGCCTCTTCTCCGCGAGGCGCTTCTCTCTACCCAGTCCCTCTGCCACCTCTACGCACGCCTTTTTCTGCACTTGCTCCGCCCGCTTCTGTCCCTCCTCCTCTCCCTCTACTCGCTGCTCTCGCCGATGCTCTCGTCCCTGCTCTCGCGCCTGTGGCGCTTCTTTGTGGCGCAGCCTGCGCGCCCGCTGGCCGCCGAGGCCGCCGTGGCCTTCGCGCTGCTGGCGCTGTTGGCCCTCGAGCGCCACTTCGACGCCCTGGCCGCCGCCGCGCGCCTCGCTGCGCGCGCCTCCGCCGCCGTCAGCTCCCGGTACCGCTCCGCCATCGCCGCCGTGCGCCGCCAGTGGCGCCTCGCCGCTGTCGCGCTGCCGCACCTGCTGTTCGCCGCCGCCGTCCTCGTCTTCCACCGCGGCACCGGCGCGCTCGTCATGGCCCAGGCCACCGGCGCCACGGGTCTGCTCCTCTCCATCGCTAGGCCCGCGTGGACCACCGTCAAGCTGCTCTACGCCATCGACATCGAGAACAAGAGGCCGCTGCGAGACGATGAGGAGGAGGAAGACGAGGAGGAGCTCCTCGACGAGCCGGAAGTGGCCGTGGAGACCCTCGAAACGGCGCCGGGTAGCGGGAACGTCAGGAGGAGGAGGCCTTCTACTCCGCACAGCAAGCCGTATCAGACCCGCTCGCGCACGCGCCTGCAACGACAGATCACGTTTGAGGTCGAGGACGAGGCGTCTGGCGCCAACTTGAGGCCGCCGCGTAGTCCTTCCAATGTGCGCCTCAGCCCGGCGAGCGAGGAGAAGAAGAGCGGACGCTCTGATGCTACAAACCAACCGCTTACGCCACCGCGGAGACGGCGGAGTAGCAAAAGGGATGCCGACGACCCTGTCAACTATCAGGCGAGCGAACCGGCGGCGCTGAAATTCTGGGTCACCTTCGGCCTTGTGTGGACTGCACGCTCTATAATGTGGTATTTTGTACCGAGTATGTTGAAAGGCGCAATTGAGAGCCTGGACATCACTTTACTTTACGTGCTCATCTGGGCACAACTGGGGATAACAAAGGGCGCCGAAATCGTGTACGGGCTGGTTGCCGGCGTGGCCCGGCGGCGGTGGCGACGCGGGGGCAGGGACCGTACGCAGACGGCCAACATGTTTCTGCGCATGGCAGTGGCAGCTAACCTGCTGCGGTCGGAGCGCCTGATCTACATGACGGGCATGATTGCGGAGAGCGGGCTGGCGCTGACCGGGGTCTTCTTCCTCATCACGCCGCGCCATCAACATGGAAGGCATTTTGCGTCACATGCCGCGTATACCGGGAGTGAACTACTTAATGTTCTACGTCGGTCACATGTGTGCGCGATTTTGTTGGCAGACCCAGAATGCCTTTTTGAAGTCAGTTTCCTACCTTCACCGCGGCAGCGATGGCAAGATTGAGTACACTACACCTCCGAAATACGCAGAGGCCTTCGAGATATATGCTGAAGAAAATTTTTTCAATGACCGGCTGGCCAAAGACTAGCCTTCTGTGCAGAGATCTCTGATGTGCAAGACAATCATCTTTGACCCGAGGGAACTGAAAAGCCGAGAGATTGAATTCTATCGTATTCGTTATTGTCGCACTCGGTACAAGCCAGGTTCCTTTGCATTGACAGCACCTCGTGCTTATCATGCTGGATTCAACTGCGGTTTCATTATTGTCGAGGCTGTGAATTTTGCCAACTCGGGACGGCTCTTAGTCGGCCGGCAAACGTCCTGCTGTGCTCGCCGAGGGGCCTCAACCTTGATTGTACAATACGAATACCTATTTTATGATGCAAACTCGCTTCGAGATGGGCATTTAGATACTACGAACATGGATGGAAAACTACCAAGCGCAAGGAACAGTGCTCGCACCCTTACCGGCGAGCTTGGAACAATGATGGAATAGGGAATAAGGGGAAAGAAGGCCGAGGGAATACGCTCCGTTGAGCAACTGTCGGATCGTCTTGTCGAATGAAGTGGGTGGACGTTTTAAGAAAGATCAACTGGGACCCGAATTTGGACCTGGTGCTGGGATAGTTTGTAGCATATGTAAGCACGCTTGTCAATTCTAGGCTGAGATTTGCGGCAGTTGCCCCGACAACCGTGAGGCACAATGATATCTGATTTTGGCTACAAGTTTAGTTCTCCCTGCCGACGAGCAGGATGCAGGCCTGTGCTCGTCAGGAGGTATAATCTTGTGCTTCTTGGAGATCTTCTCTCTCGCATGGAAGATATGGCTGGCGTACAGTCGATCACCTAAACACTTTTGCGCAGATACAGAGGTTTTCTTCGGACATGGGACACGCCGCTTGGAGCTCTGGGAACCGAGTTCAACGTGACCAGCATGCGCCGCGCCGAGCAGAAGACGTTCGTGTTCAGAATGTCCGACTGGCCCGAGGAGGTTGGAATCGCGCCGCCGTGGCGCCACCCGCGCCGCCGCCGTTGCCGCCGACGGCGCAAGAGTGGAGCATAACTCGGTACGCGCGATGGAGCTGTTCTAAATTGCTATCGCGAAGGCTGATTGAGTCCATTTACTCATTGCCAAACAATGTCGAATCACAGTAAAGCTTCGTGAAAACAATTGTAACATTATCTACACCTGTCCTGACAGTCCCGAATCGTCACCAAACATGCTTTTGTAGGCATTCAATGCCTTTTTATACCGTGCGAGCGTGATTTCAAAGAACGCCTCGTTGTCGGGGATCTTTTAGCGCGCTCGTACGCCTGTAGTGCAGACTCAACAATATTAAACATTGAGTTGTTTTCCTGCCTGGCCGAAATAACGCCATTCACCGGCGGATTCGTACTTGTTGACACAACGTTCTGAACACTCGGGGCCGAAATGATGGAAACGACCTGTCCTATCTTGTCTATTGCCTCTCGACAATATCCGCGATCTCTGCACTGCTCTTTCTCTTTTTTCGACTCAAATCTGTTCCAGCTTGGGCATTCTCAGCCTCTCTTTCTTCCCCTCGCCTTTCTCTTCTCGATGCATTCATCCCCGCCTCATAACCTCCGTCTAACATGGCCTTGCTGGACATCTCTACAAAAAATGTATCTTCAAAAGGTGTCCCGAGCCGGGCCACCACAAACATAATTAATGCGCGTTTTGAGCTTGCATACAGAACCTCTCCATTCATCGACAGAAAGTCCACCAACCTTTCAGGATCGTTCTGACCTGACCGCATCCACTTGTCCAAAGCTGCAGTAAACACAGACTTAGCATCCCTAAAATGATTCTTTAAACAATCAGCGCTCCTGTGGCATAGAGGCGCTGCAGCGGGATCTGCGTCTTCCACATGTCCCTCAAATGAAAATTAAACGCAAACGGATGAGTCGTTGAACCTTCCCTCTATTATTCCCCAAAACGAATCCCTCGAGACACCAGAGTCAAGTTCAGACCTCCTCAACTCCTGACCCAGCCGATAGAGTGACGACCAGACCCTTTCAACGTCGCGCATCAGGAATACAAGTCGCGAAAACTCAGATAGGGTAGAGTTAGGGTCCGACGGCGTCTCCTCATCCTCCTCACCGCGACCCGGAACGTAATTCCTTTCCGATCGTCCCAATGGCCTGTCCGTAGCGCCAAACTTGTCCCCAGTGCCCTTCAGGTCATTTTTCATGTACTAGATACTAAGAAGTGCCTTCGAGTCAAGACATGCCCGTTCGTGGGCGTCTTGGAACTTTTCGAAGCTGGGACAGTGCAAGTTCGTAGCCATCTTCCCACAAACATCTAGACGGTGGTCATTACAGTCCTTCAGGAACCAGAAAACTCGATAGAAGAGGTCTTTCTTGTTCCCGGCCGATCTGAGACCCCACAATCTCCCCATTTTCCTCAAATCATCTTTTCGAAGACCTGACAAAAAAGTAAAGACCTTTGTGAGACTTTCTACCCCTTTTTGCGTTCCACTACCATCTTCGTCCTCACTAATGGGCCCGCTAACGTCAAGTTCTTGTCTTTGAAATCCATGTAGGCTTTCGGCTTGATTTTTAACGAATGCCCCACAGACTGGAGTGGAAGCGTTCTCACCCGCCTGAAACTGTTTGATTGTAACAGGCGGGGATAATATTTGGTCAGAAACACCCGCTGCAGACGAGGAAGCAATAGTGAGAGACTTTGCGTTGGTGGCCCCCGTCTTCCGAATGGTGGGAGTTCGGAGAGATGCGCGAGAGACGAGAACGGCGCACGTGGCATTGAGGTGTGGAAGCCATTTTCAGGAAAGTAGTAGGCAGAGAGGTGCTTCGTAGAGTTGGGTTGCCTTTGCGAGATGGCAGGTGCATAGATTTTTGCAAAGGGGGAGGTGAGGATGTTTTCGGCAAGGGGCAAGCACTGCGTCCACCGGAGCACAGCGTACAAATTCGAAAGTTTCAAACTTACAAAAGTAGCCAATATATGATTGACATTTGTCATTACACACTGACATAACTTGAGCTTGCAGTGTAGGGTCGTACTTAGTTTCAAATCATATATTAACTCCCAGTAGCCAATAGTAGTGCAAATCATGGCTCGGGGCAAGCAAACTCGGGCAAGCTAAGACACTCCCTCACTGTAGGGATCTGGCGTGGACGCAAATGCGCCTGCGTGGGAAGTAAATGAGAGTCATCGTCTCGTCACCACAGTATTCAACGGTTCCGTTTTTGGGTCCGATTTCAAAACCCACAAATGCATGCAAAGTCCTCGTCGAGCACGGCGCGCATCTTCTCCTCGGACACGGGCCCGCGCGTGCCGGGCCCCTGCGCCTCCTCGGCGTCGTTCTTGTCCTTCATGGCGCGCCCGTAGAACGACCGCGCCCGGTCGCGCGAGAACGTGCACGCGGGCGGCGTCTGCTCGTCGCTGAGCACACGCTCGCCTGCGAACGGCGCTGCTCTGCACGCCGCGCCCGCACCCTCGGGCGCCCCGACGCCGGGGGCGGCCTCGTCGGTGGGCGTGTCGCGCGCGTCCGCGACAGGCTCCTCCGGCGCTATTTGAAGCACGGTGACGTGCGCCTCGAAGCGCAGCGAGTTGGGGCGGTTTTGCATGTCGCGCATGCGGTGGAGCGGCGGGTCGTCGGCGGGTTTCGGCGGAGCGGCGGCGACGGGGGTGTCGAAAGGGTCGGCCGGTCGAGAGTTAGTGGCAAGGGGTCTGTGCTGCTGGCGCGGCCGGAGCTAGCGACGCTGAGGACGCGGGAGAAGTCGCTGCGCCAGACGGAGGAGCCGGAGGCCGGACCGTCGGTGTCGGCGTCGGAGGCGAAGGCGGGATCGAAGGCGCCGACGCAGGCGGCGTCCGTGATGGTCTGGGAGAAGTGGTCGGGCATGGGCGACGGCGGCGGGCGGCGCAAAAGTCATGCCCATCGGTCCACTACAGTACCAACCCTGTGGCGGATCAAGGTTGATACTGGTGCCAACTTAAACACACTAGCTTCTCTTTTTTTACCGCAGTCTGTTTACACATTCAAGCCTTACGCCAACCAACAAAAATCTGTCCACAATCTCAAGACCAACAAACGAATAACAAAAGCTCTCTTCAATTGCTTTCAAGATGTATATTTCTGTTCTCAGGCGCTCAGAAACACAGTACCTCCCGTTTGCAGGCATTTCTTCTCGATTTAGCTTTCGCATAGCTGCAAGTCAACTGAAAGGCTTAGAATATGTTGCCTCCCTGGCAAGATAAGTCTACTGAAAACGGGAGCCAGACTATAATTCAGTGCGATACTTTTCTCAAGGTTGTACCCACGTCTGCAGCAGATTACGATTCTGAATGTCATGCCCATCGGTCCACTACAGTACCAACCCTGTGGCGGATCAAGGTTGATACTGGTGCCAACTTAAACACACTAGCTTCTCTTTTTTTACCGCAGTCTGTGTGGGAGAGACACAAGACCTGTGGTAAAAGGGAGTGCCCCCTGGCCAGGAGACAGGTGGGGGGGGGGGGGGGGTGCACCTATCCTTTCTCGCCTACCGACACACGTTGCGGACATCACGTAACCGATAGAAGTACAATTCACCTTCATATCTGCTAGTGTATCTGTATGCGCACCCCTTCTGCATTGATAAATTTACCCAGCAGGGGTGCACAGTATATGTAGTAGCGAAATCCAACAGTCTGTTTACACATTCAATCAAGCCTTACGCCAACCAACAAAAATCTGTCCACAATCTCAAGACCAACAAACGAATAACAAAAGCTCTCTTCAATTGCTTTCAAGATGTATATTTCTGTTCTCAGGCGCTCAGAAACACAGTACCTCCCGTTTGCAGGCATTTCTTCTCGATTTAGCTTTCGCATAGCTGCAAGTCAACTGAAAGGCTTAGAATATGTTGCCTCCCTGGCAAGATAAGTCTACTGAAAACGGGAGCCAGACTATAATTCAGTGCGATACTTTTCTCAAGGTTGTACCCACGTCTGCAGCAGATTACGATTCTGAATGTCATGC